ATAATAAGCGTGGTATTTGCTCGTTTAGCAAGACATACCTTTTTTAGGAGGAATTTTGATGATACAAATTTTGGGACCTCCTTTGAAACTGTTTCCGATATTGTGAATAGTTCCGTCTGCATCATAATGAGGATGAGCTGTAGCCGAGTGAACAGCTACATAGTCTCTTAGATTGACCTGTATAGATAATAATGATAAATAATACATACTTTGTTCCTTTTTTCCTTTTCTAAAATACTTTTAAAATGAAAAACAACATATTGTCCAATGGAAAAGAATGGACGGGTGGTGGGCATATATATGGTGTCTTCCTGTATCGATTCAGATTGGTTGTCAAAGATCAAAAGTTAAATGTCAAATTAACGGTTTGTTTGTAAAATTTTACAAATGACTGAAATAAAAAAGTGTAGGTAATATCAAAGCCTGACTTTTAAATTAAGCATTCGTTAACCTATTATTTGTTATCTAGTTTCAGGATCAATTTTAATGTTTATTTCCCGCTAAATCATCCTCTAAGCTCTCTTAAGGTTTCAGGATCAATTTTTAAATATTTTCTCTGAATAATTCTCTTAATAAGCCTTCTTAAGGTTTCAGGATCAAGTTCTAAAATATTTCTCCAATAAATTCTTTTAAGTTCTTTTAAATTCCATCCATTCTCTCATTCTACGGTTTCATGATTAATTTCATAACATTTTCTCTAACTTACTTCCTCTGTGATCTCTATTGTTTCAAGATCAGTATCAAAATTATTTTCTTTATCTTACTCTGTTTAGGGTCCGTAATGTTTCAGGTGGAAATACAAAACAATTTCCTTAGACCTAATCTCAAGTGTCTCTCTTATTTCATGACCTATTTCAAATCATTTTCTTGAGCTGTCATACTAAGGTTTTCTATGGTTTCAGGACCAATTTCAAGTATTTTTCTTCAACTTACTCTCTCTAGTGTCTCTAAGGTTTCAGGATCAACTTTCCTAATAAACTGTGTCTCTGTACTAGCATATAACTCATCTTTTAATGGATACAAATTAACATTTGTGTTGTCATTCCTCTCATCTACGACGAAATGACTCAAAAATCTGAAAGAAGCAGGTAAATAGGTCTGCTATTTATTATCTTTGAAAATATAATATCACATGGGGAAAACGCATTACTATATTTCTTATTCCGGTTCCTTTAAATAAAATTTGATAGGTGTTAAAACATCAGCTATGAGTGGCCATCGTCACAATCTGTTTGATAGGCTGACATTATATTAAGCAACATAACTGGAAACATACATGCAAAATTCTGCCTCAATTGGATACAACACTACAATACAATTTATTCCAGGTGCTCCTAACTTTTCTTGAAGCGGGCTGCGTTTCATAGAAAGTCCTTAGTGTATCCCAAGTCTTAGGACATAAAACCATCTTTAGGTCGTTTCAATAAATATTTCTATCTTCAGTCAAATACTGCTGACTATAGATAAATAGATTTACATGTGAACAGTTGAGAAAACAATGAAAGACCCTTTTATTCGTAATGTGTAAATATCCATCATCCATCATTTTATTTAGTCATAACATAGGAGTCATAAGTGAAGCGATTTTCTTTGAAACGCAAAATTGTCACATTTCTTTGGTATTAAGACTGATTTCAGACTTTTGGCTTTCTATGAAACGCAGCCCAGTATGACATAAAGTGGCCCTCTAAATTAGTTACTTATATTAAAGAAACCCTGGAGACAATTTTCCTCTGAGATTATTTGTAAATAGATCAAGCATGTCAGTGACTTTAATCACTTCATTTTACAAGGAAATCTTTAGTATTTAGAGAATATAAACAGCCATACCTTTGAAAGATATTTTTACATGGGTCAGGGACTGGTAGGGTACCGAATCCAGAGATAACGATTCTTTGTGCAGCAAGATTCTCGGTGTATGATTCACTTTTAAGGAAGCGATTTTGGTATGTTACCTTCTTGTTTTCTGTAACAAAGATTATAATAATCATCGCAAACATTGTGATAACATCGTTTCGTGAATAAAAAGTCTCAAGCATTTGCTTTATAACAAAGTATGAATTTCTTATATTCATAACAAAAAAGCAACGTTCATTATACACGTGTCGCAAAATTCAAATTACGCCGCATACGTGTTACTAAGGTTATAGAATAGCAGGCATGCAATTTTACTAAATATATGATTTCTCTAACTTATCTAATTAATTAAAAGTTTATTTCAATATATTATAAATTAAAGTTGAACCATTTTTATCTAAGCAAAAACCAAAAAAAATACGTTATTTTGGCTCATCCCTAGTAAATGGTTACATGACACACTATAAATATGTTGTAGTGTGTGTAAGAAATGCTACAATGATTTCATTATCTAACAGAAAGCTGACTACATCCTTATTGCTGGTACATGTTTAAACATCATTTTTTATGAAGCATTATGAACCGTAGTGGAAATCTCGTAAGCTCTGACTTATTCCTGATAGCTGAAATGACATTATCCCAAATTTTTAACACTACACATGATGGTACCGTGGCATTGGGATACATTTAGCATTAATTTTATAAGGCCATGCGATAGTACTAATTGTGACAAATCATAAAAATATGTCCAGGGGCCTCTCTTACTTTGACCAAAATGGACATAGGAAATCTTTTATTTACTGCGTGCGCACGCGATAGGTAAAACGCACGCATGCACAAGTCAAACATATTGCATAGCCACGTAATGGTTTTCACATCAATCGTGTGGCCACTCAATATTATTGCGTGACTGAGCATATACTATAACTATTGGGTGCACACTTAATATCTATTGCGTGGCCACTTATTCCCTTTCGCATGCGCAAGTAGTAAATAAAATATTTAAAAATTAAAATGTCTTCTTGGGTCACAGTAAGACGGGGCCCTAGGTATATGTATTTGATTTGTCAGGTAGTGTAACCTTGACATATTTAAGTTAAGTACAAACCTATATGGAACCTTGTGATCATTGCCAGGGGATCAAACCAATGATTGTACTTGTATTCTCCAACCTCGTACATTCCAGGTCCATTTCTGTACAGACTTCCGTTAACCCATTCTGGAATTTCTCCTGGTTAGATGAAATTTATGGTAAAAATTAACAGATTGTAATATATACAGGAAATGCTTTTATACTAGTAAAATTGTTATGCTTATTGCTAAAAGGAGCTCCACTGAGGTCAAATGGCCTAAAACATTAAATTTGAAGTTATTAATACATCAAGGGAATCACTTAAAAAAGGGAAAAATCCGCAAATGATTATAAGGCAATAAATTCAGAATTTATATGAATTGCGATATTGAATGCGATTTTTAGCCCAACTTGAGTGAAAAGCGTTTCAAAGCTTTTCATTTTTGGGTCATTTTGCGCAATAAAATGATAATTCTGGAGAAAAAAAGTGAGAGGAAATGATCTCAACATTTGCAAACAAATTATTGGTTCAGACCAACATCATATGGTACACAAATGTCGAAAAAATATTTACAGTCTCGTCATGCCAAAAACACCTCCGTAGAGACCTTTTAATTTTTAAAACATTGGGGATTTTGTATATATTTCAACTTCTTCTTAAATAACTCTGCACACTAAAGAGATACACCATAACCTTGTTATTAAAATTAATGCGTTACTGCAGTATAGAAAATACTTACCAATATAAGTAATTTAAAAGCGTTCAAAATTTCTACATTATATTGTAAATGTAATTTATCAAAAGTTTTTTTGAGTTTAACCGTTAATCTATTAAGATTATGTTTGCGTAACATTTACAAAGAAAACTTTCTCAAATACCTGTAATCTTTCCCTCAACAGGATTCTCGTGTTCTTCTTTGATTGTTTGAAAAAGCTTGTGCATATTCTGCTGATAAAAACAAGAGTGCTATGATAGTCAAAAATCACTCACCAGAGCCATGCATGAATGTCACTAATCACGATGTTCATATCTTTGTAAATAATAATTTATAAACACATCAAACATATCATATAAATAATTGTCAAGATAGCCATTTTATTTAAAAAGAAACACGAATGTCTGCCATTTCTGTTATTTTGACAATTGTGGCGTTCTATCTGGTTCGCGCTTTGTGTCTTAAATGAAATGAATTTGGATTTTGCTGGTGTAACCTAACTAACGGTGAAGGGTGTGGCTCTAAAAGATGTTTCTGCCCTACGGAAGAGAAGCCTTTCAACTATTGTCTTATTTTGTTCCTCGATGCGAAAAATTTTGTCCTAGGGAGAATATCTCTACGACGACAGACAGCTTGGGAAGACCTTCGTTGCGACTCTACAAAAGAAGCAAGTCTTACAGATGTCCTCTTCCCAGAAAAGAAGCAAGTCTTAGAAAGCTCCACTTCCCAGATAAGAAGCAAGTCTTAGAAAGTTCCGCTTCATAGGCGCACAGCAAGTCTAAGGAGCGCAGCATGTATAGGGAGCGCAGTAAATCTACGGAGCGTAACAAGTCTAAGGAGCGCAACAAGTCTAAGGAACTATTGGACTTGCTTCGCTCATTAGACTTGCTGCGCTCATTGAGTTTAATAGGTATTAATCTAATACTGCAGCAAGTCAAATAAGCACAGCAAGTCTAAGGAACGCAGCAAGTATATTATTGCAGCAAGTCTATTGAGCGCAGCAAGTCCAAGGATCGCAGCTATTCTTAAGCAATAGTCACAAATACTGCTCGAAATATCAAAAAAAAAAAAAAAAAAAAAAAAAAAAAAAAAAAAGACCCCCCCCAAAAAAAAAAAAAAAAAATGACACCAAAACTTGATTATAATGCATGTGTTATTTTACATTTTTTATATATATAGACTTCAAAAAACTATTATTTATTACATACATATAAATGTAAATTTTATTTACCGTGTTTTCACTGTAAAAAGTTATTTTTCACTGCAGTGAAACATATTTTCCGTATTTTCACTGGTGTCTTGTCGGACTTCTTTCTTCTTAATTTAGCCAATACACAAAATTAAAAGGGGATTCTTCCTATTCATAAGTTTAAAAAAGAGAAAAAGTATAATTATAATAAACAGAAAAAATAAGTTTTTTTTTCTATTAATACAGGATTTATTTTCATCTTGAGGAATGAAAATAATAATATTTCACTTGTGGCTTCCTCAACTCGTGAAATATTTATTTTCATACCACTCAATAAAAATAATATCCTGTATTTATAGAAGAAACTTGAATATCTTCTATATCTTTTATAAAAGAAATATATTCAGTTAAGTTTCAAGCAAAGCATATAAGTTTCCAAAATTGTTTTTAACAAATTGAATATAAAGGAAATCCTACGAAAAAAATGAAGCGGTTAGTTACGAGCTCCCGCTTAACGTAAATAGATTCCTCACAAATATGTGTATTATTAAAATACTGCCCGTAGGCCTGTGTTAAATTAACCATGTATTTTACAAATATAAACACAAGACTGACTCACGCTTACGCCTTTTTTGTACACATGGATATCATGTGTCCTTCCGAGATTCCAAACTGAGCTTTTATTAAATTTATGTATATATATTCAGACATGCAATTCTATGTCTCTAATATAATTAAAATAATATAAAAATTGATTACCTTTAATATATTAGAAGACTTTTAGTATCACTACGTGTTTAGTGACCTATACTACCCTTACAAAATAAAAAATAATGGCGTCCGGTCTCGCTCGCATGATTTTTTTATCAATGCGGAGTGAATACTACACTAGTAATTAAGGTTTTATATCTTCTACCATTGTGAAATATAAAACTTCTGTAAAAATAGACCCAACAGTTAATGTATCTTTACTTCATATGACCTGAAAAGGAGACGACAATATGTTTTTCAGTATGTGATATAAAATAACAAAATTTATTTAAGCTGTTATAAATAATACAGTTACAGTATTCTTTTCAATTTAAACAAAAGTTAAAGATTGAATTTGATTTTATCTGCATCTGGTCATCTGTGCATGTACTAAATGAAAAAAGTTTAACTGTTAAAACATGTCAGATTGACCTCATTTTATTTGTAGTATTTTGTTTATTATTTTAACCATGTCTTTTTTAACAAAAATGGAATTAAATGAAAGATAAAATGAAAAAATAAAAAACAAATATTTTAATACAAATTGTCACACAACTAGAATAACACCATTGGTCTGTTATGTCACATAATAATAAATCCCTTATTGAGCTTTGTTGTACATATTTTTTACATATTTTGGATGGTAGATTATATGATGACATTGTTGGTAATTATACATGTCTTACTTATGTTGGTTCCAATGTTTGTTTACATTTGTAACGTACTTCAATGTTGATAAGACCACCTTCCTTTAAGATCATAGTGAGGCTTTATGGAAATTCCGGGGGTCAAGTCAGACAAGAAGGTCTTTCAAATGATTTTAAGGGAGTTTCCAAATACAAATTGTGCAATTCACACAGAGATACATTTATTGAAAAATTGACCAACGCATTTAATTTAAACGCGAATAGTATCATAAATAGCATTGATATTAACATTTATTCGGTTAGTGAGATTTTAAATATATTGAATCTTCTGCAGAGAATATGAATGTTCACTATTAATGAACAAGGTAATAATACATGGTGGGACAAAATTGTAGCGAACTGAAACAAATTAAGTACGCTATGTTACGATAGACAATTGATTTACAAAATTTCAGAAATTATAAACAGTTTATAAAAACGTATTATATTAAAAAGCGCCTTTATCAGCATATTATAAGAAACGAGTTACTTAAATAAGTGTAGGTAAAATCCTAAAACGTTTGGGCAAATGTTGAAATCTAGTCAAAGTAAAGATGAAATTAAATCTCAAAATATAAAACCCGATACACAAAGATTTATTATGGAAGGATAATCTTCCAGGTTTGATTTAGATGAGTTTACCGACGAGCAAACTGCTATTTTGAATTCGGAGTTAACTACAGAACCATCAAATCATAGGGGTATATCGTTGATAAATTAATGTATAAAATATATCCTCATATATTATTTACGATAGGTTATGCACATGGGCCGAATAATTTAACTAACAAGAGGGCCAAGATGGCCATAGATCGCTCATCTGACCCATCGAACTCATCCAAACAATTACCTAGACAAGCATTCTCAGACCAAGTTTCATGGAACCTTGTGATCATTGCCAGGGGATCAAACCAATGATTATACTTGTATTCCCCAACCTCGTACATTCCTGGTCCATTCCTGTACAGACTTCCGTTAACCCATTCTGGAATCTCTCATTTTTAGATAAAAATTGTGATATCGAATTGGATTTCTTGTCAATTTTAAAACAACAGCTAAAAAGACTTTGAACATAATAAGGAACAGTCAACAACATGGAAGTATAAGATAAAGATGATCAATGTATTTTGTATCACGACACATAAATCACAATTTAAAATAGAGTGACATACATAGCATAAAAAGATATAACACTGCTGCCAAATAATAAAAAAACAAAAAACAAAATAAAAAAAAGATGGAAAGAAAGCATACAAAAAACTAAAATCTAATATCTATATAATTATGTCAAGAAAAATGTAATCTAAAACAATAAATAAACAAAATTGAAACACCAGCAAGCACATAATGGTAAACTATGCATGTAAAAATACATTGATATCAATTGACACAATTCAACACATTGTGACAACTTAAAACTACACAAGTGGTGTTACTAAACTGTAAAGGAAAGATAAGTTGTAATATAAGTTTTCATGTGGTATTATTATAAATTGTCGAGAGCAATACTGAAGTCTATGGGTGGTATTGAACGAGTTCTCAGCTATACAAACTATACATGCCGAGGCGCTGTCAACCAGTATTGTTCTCAACAATGTATAGTGACCTCACCTTTGGAGACACATTAAAAGAACTTTGAAAATTCAATGCAAGTTCAAAAATGACTTGATAAGAAATGAGGAAATCCTAAAATAAATACGAGGCAAGATGGAGTATGATATGCAATTGGTATAGTTTCGTTTACTCTGAAATTAAAAACGAGACTTAATAGGGTACGATATGCATTCGATATGGACTTTTTGGACTGAGGTTTCCTGTATGAAATCTTTTCACATGAATGAATTTAACATAGAAATATTTTTAAATGTAGGTCTACTGTACTGTTTCAGAGATATTATTTATTGGTCAATTGTTTTTAGCTCACCTGTCACACAGTGACATGGTGAGCTTTTGTGATCGCTTTTCGTCCGGCGTCCGTCCGTCCGTCGTCTGTCCGTCGTCCGTCCGTCCGTCCGTAAACTTTTACTTTAAACGAAATCTCCTCATAAACCGCTAAGACAACTTCACAGAAATGTTCCTTTGGTAGTCGTGAACTTTAAAAAATGTTCAAAGAATTTAATTCCAAGCAGAACTCTGGTTGCCATGGCAACAGAAAGAAAAAACTTAAAATATCCTCTTTTAAAAAACCGTAAGAGCTAGAGCGTAAATATTTGGCTCCGGTGGTCATTGATTTTCCTTATTTGTATATAGTAAAAACTTAAAAATCTTCTTTTAAAAAACCCAAATAGCTAGAGCTTAGCTATTAAGCATGAAACATCTTCTAGTGGGTGTCTACCAAGTTTGTTCAAATAGAAGCCCTTGGGTCAAAATTGGCCCCGCCCCAGGGGTCATTGTTTTTCCCTTTATGTATATAGTAAAAACTTAAAAATCTTCTTTTAAAAACCCCAAATAGCTAGAGCTTAGCTATTAAGCATGAAACATTTTCTAGTGGGTGTCTACGAAGTTCGTTCAAATAAAATCCCTGGGGTCAAAATTGGCCCCGCCCCAGGGGGTAATTGTTTTTCCCGTTATGTATATAATAAAAACTTTAAAAATCTTCTTTTAGAAAATCTTTAGAGCTAGAGCTAAGATATTTAGCATG